GCGTGTAAGCGGTTTTCTCAGGGAATGGCCGAGCTCTCTACGTCCCCTACGTCCCCTGTCCTTCCTTGGGCATCAAATATATTTTGTCAAACCTCATCGTACCCTGGACAACATTTGGCATATCACTGTTCAAGCAGATCCTTTGTGGAGGTGGGTTGGATGTCTGCACAACTTTACTCAGAGCCATCCTCTGTGCGACCTCTCTGACTATCTGTGGCAGCCTATGCTAAAATTTCTACCCCTAATCAGCATTCATATGGTTGCTTTCGGCGGGATTGGTTACGCGCATGTCTGCTGCGGCTCCAATCCAAGTAGATTGCATCACCAAAGTTCGTCGTAAATCCTGGCGGAATCGCCTTTACCAGATCTAGTCAAGATGGCGTTTGCTAGACCCGGTCGAGCTACAACCATGTTCTCTACACAGTAGAGTATGCTCGATCGCGTGAACTCGGGTACTGTGCCCAAAAAGTAATGGCGATCGCTTTGGGTGCAATAGTGGATGTTGATAATGGGAGAGGACAGGCGATATCAATCGTAGTTGCTTACGGGATTATTCACGGGGTTGCGACGGCTCCCATGTAGAAGCAGCCAATCGGAAATTTTCGAGCCAAGCCCCTCAATTTCTTCGTTGTCTTTATTGGGAATCCACTTTGACTCGCGACCGTTGTGGATGTAGGCATTCTACAGCAGAGTAGGAGTAAGTGACTTGCAAGCCGCCTGAAGCGGCAAATTCGACTACGCGAGGAACAGTCTATCGCATCACCATAATTATCTGAGCAACAAAATGTATTTCGAGCGCTCCCCATTCAATGCTTCTTCTACACCTGGTAGGTCTGATCGTGGGTGTTTTGCCTAATTATAGCTTCACCGAGGGATATTGGTGTTTGCATTGGACCAGCTCGATCGAATTGGAGGCTGTGTGCGAACTTTACTGGGTAAACACCAGGGGACCACCGTAGCAAGTGATGCCAAATGGTGCAGAATGAAACAATGAAACTGTTATCTCTGTCATAGGTAGACTTCCGGACCGGCCCAAAAGCCCAACCCGACCCCAACCCGCAGATGGGCTATGGGCCGAAAACAATACAGACATGCCAATTCTTGGCATTTGCATAAAAAATGCAGATTTTCCCAGTATCAATTATCTGTGGAAACAGACACTCATTGTGAGAAGTTAGCTAGCTTTTGGTATGAAATTGAATCCTATAAACCTACAAATGACGAGTTCCACTGATGAAAGTGTCATACTTGAACGGGAAGATACACCTACTTCTGTCTATATGAAATATATATATCTATGTGCTGACGCTCACTAATCCTCTAAGTGCCAGAATAGTACAAAATCCTGGTCAAATTCGACTTTTTCTTGGTAATTGCTATTCAATCGGGTCTATAGTGTAGCCATTGTTTCCATGACTTTTATTACCAGGTCGTTGCCGTTGAACCTTGATATCTTGCTTCTTGGAGTGGTTGAACCCCCGGATTGGGCCAGGGAAAACGTCGGGCCGAGATCTGGGCTTATAGACTAGAACATGCATAAAAAACAGACATTAATCAGCAGGGTTATGAATGCCAATACCGTAGTTGTGTGCATAGAAATGGGCTTGGTTGGGCTTTGCTGAAGTCTAGTGACCATCACTCAACTTCACCGCCTGGCCATATACCACAATACACACATCAACACCCTCGTCCATACTATCGTCAACGCTCATCAACGTTCATCAACGTTTATCAACACCCATCAACGTTCATCAACATTCATCAACGACCATCAACGTTCATCAACGTTTATCAACACCCATCAACGTTCATCAACGTTCATCAACGTTCATCAACGACCATCAACGCTCATCAACGCCCGGTCAACACATCCACGACGCACCAAAATACTCACCGTTTTGTTCGCTCCACGCCCTGATGGCAGATACATTCTATTGCGGCGGGAAGACTAGCGGACCGCAAACCATGAAGACAGGAGGGTTGGGAATACGGCATTCGATAACGAAGGTTGAATCTTGAATTTACGATTCTGATATTGATTTGCTTCTATCTAGGGCTCATTTTATTTCTCTAATGATGATTTTGGACTACAAAATACATCATCAAGATGGTGTGCAGATCTTGGCTTCTTCGAGTACTCTTGAATACTCGAATACTGGTCCCTAGCACCACGGAGAGGTGCCTGCACATCGCTAGAGGCCTTGTTCACGCAGCAATCCCCTGCGAAGCATATTTGTTGACGCAGAGCTCGTCCTGCGAAGCACCTTTTTACGCTCGCGGGGCTCAGGGCAGCGAGGGAGCACATTTTTACACTCGCGGGGCTCGGGGCAACGAGGGAGCACATTTTTACACTCGCGGGGCTCGGGGCAGCGAGGGAGCACATTTTTACACTCGCGGGGCTCGGGGCAACGAGGGAGCACATTTTTACATCGCTGGGCTCGTGGCAGCGACAGCCGTGGTCACGGAACCTCCCAAGCCCGCAGGCAAAAGAGGGACACCATGACACATCGGAGTGTGAAGACCGAAGTCCTGATTTCTTTCGGCTGGGAACCTGGACCCTTTTATAATTTTTTGGCTACGTCTCTACCAAGGAACCAATTGCGCAGATGGTAGCGAGAAAAATTACTTCGTTGGTAGGCGTTGAAGCGATCGCAATGACGTTGAACTGATGTCTGGAGACTTTGTGGCCTACAGAGTCAAGTCTAGCCTGGACTCATTCCTCTCAAAATCGTACGTTGAGCGTGGTGAACCATTATCATCACCTGTTGAGAAGAAAGTAACGCCGCAAAAATATGATTCCTACATATCATTGAAATTGCAATCAAATCGCTCAACGCGCTTTACCTCTACACCAGATCATTCTGGTTATGGGCCACCGTCTCGTTGAAGAGGATTGAAATGTTTGACAACGCTGAAATAGTGTACCGGTTGTTGGCCTCAAGGAGTGCCTCCCATTGATCCCACTAGAATTTTGTCTATCTCCTAGCCCCGCACTGCTCGAACGGTACTTATTTTCTGTTGCTCGCGGCCAACTGATGTTGCCTTCACTGGAAGTTCTGCTACCTGGCGCCACAGACACTGCGAACCTACTCCCAAATCCAGGATGTTGGCTGTATTCTTTGACGGAGAATCAAAAAGTCTAGACCTTGTTGGAAAGCCCAGAATAGGAACCCGAGCCCAGTTTCCAGGACAACGAAGTGAATTATTTCAGCTACCATGGCTCACGAGCTAGGTTCTCGTGATCGCCACCCCCTCGCCAGATTGGAACGCTACTGTCACATTGATGAGACCCTGGACACAAATAGCACCCAACGGACCAATCAAACACCGCGCGTGAATTTAGACAGACGCAGGTACGGTTCCGCAATGCAGATCCCAGCGACGACCCACGGGACAGTAGATCAAGGAGGTTCTATTTGTGGCCTGGAGAAGAGATTGGAAGGGTTTGCAAAGGTCCAGACACGACCCACAAGCCTAGACTTGACGGGGCGTCAGCGTACGGATGGAACAGGTCTTTGTTGCTTGGGAGGTCGGTTGAGGCAGATGAGGCATTTGGAATATCACACACTTTTGGCAATAGAGATCCGAACCGCGGTCGTGTTCTCCTAGTTGCCCTCGCAAGAGAGTGATTGGTCCTCCGTCGAATGGCAAGTTGCTGTTTTGTCTATCTAGCCTAACGCGTTCTAGAAGCAATACATATTTTCCTGCATCAACCTTTCCCTTAATCAGTTTAACCTCTTCGAACTCGACACTTCCTCTCCCTATCTGCTCCAATTCGATCGCCAGTCTGACAACTCTAGTAGACAGCGTATGAAAATCTATGCTAATCTTCGACACAATGGCTTACGTAACCGGGTCCCCGCCTTTTGCACTGAAAGCCGAAAACCCGATTGGCTCACGAAAATGACAGGAGCTGGCATTGTGGGCCGGCCCATCTGCGGTCCCGAAAAGTCTATCTTCAAGCACCCGGCGCATCTTTACTATGACTCTAGCGATAGAGAAATTTACAATTTCAAACACGATTCTGGTCCTTTACAATACTGATATCTGAAAAGGTCTATATCGTGGTCAGTGTGCCCCAATATTTTCCTTCAATGCTCTTGAAATTGTGGGCACAGATTTAACCAACGCCAAAAAGTCAATGGAGCAAAAGCTTGTAATTAAGCTTTCCATGAAGATCATTTATAACAACCGCATTCTCTCACCGAGCGAGCGTTTCCATGGTTACTCGAAACTCAGTTGTCGAAATGATTTGGGGTTTTCGCTCCTGATTCCACGGTCTCTGTGAAGCTAGCTTTCTCCTATGACTTGAGTCGAACCTGCTAGTCTTGGGTTGACTCAGAAAAACTTTGCTTCTCGTCAAACATGACTAGGGTGTGGATCGAAATCAAATCGTATGCCTCAGCCTCTACACTATGTATCATTCTACTTTCGATCCACCTTTCCAATCAAACACAATCAGACCTCTGTAAATTCAACCAGGCATATTTCCTAGGTTGATAAGAATCCAGACACTTCAGAAATTTCCAGGCAGCCCCTTTGCTACCGTGTCCTGATCTTGTCACGAGGACACTCATCCCGGTTCCATGGGTCTTTATATAGCCGTCTTACCAGCCCAACCTTACTCGGCTAATTACTGTACGTTGAAAGGAAACAGCAATGAATTCTCAGACCGAGTCCTACCGGCTATTGAATTATGTTACATCAAACAGACTTAGGTGGCAAATACTTTGTCTTCCGAAGTTCCTTACCCTAGAGTTGAAGGTCTTTCGTCACTGATTGGTCAAAATGTATTCCAAATTGAGCGACAGGTGCGGAAAGTATGGATGGAAGATAATGGACTTCGCAAATCCCGATCGCAAGCTCTGGTTTGGCGAACCTGACCCCACAATGTGGGAGTGGTATGGCTCACACTTTTTTATCATCACTCTAGACTCATATCTTTACAAAAATCAGGAGAAAAAAAATGGTTCGGGCCACATTTGACAACTATAACGGATTTAGGATTCCTTGGGTTGCTGGTTCGTGGCAGCGAGCTCATTACTATGGATGAACGCGAGATCGAACGCAAGACGCAACGAGGGAGTTGCAAGGTTGTGGAGCACGCACGTTGTTGGTCTGGTGGACAAAGCGATAGCCTGTCAAATAAAACTTCAATTCAAAATATGGGTTACCTAGGCTGGGCATGATACGAAGTTCATGAATTGCGATGTGGAAATTCTGTCATAGAAATAGTAGACAAAGAAAACATGGAGTGAGATACCGTCAATTAACTATGCCCCGCCCTTCACATACTCTTGACCCACAACGTCTGTGAGTTGCAGTACGCCGTCAAGCCATTAAGACCACATTCCGTACCCATACCGCTTGCTTTGTGTCCACCGAATGGGGCTTCAGGCGTCACATCGAAGTGACTGTTGATCCACACGCTCCCGGCTTCGAGCTGATCCGCCATGCGTTTCGCCCGGGATAGGTCTTTACTCCACACTGATGCTCCCAGTCCAGTCTCAGCAGCGTTGGCGCGCGTCAGAACATCTTCCTCGTCGGTCCACTTCAAGATCGGCAGGATAGGAGCGAACGGCTCTTCCTGCACCACGCGCGATGTCTCGGGCGGGTTATCGATGATGGTGGGCGTGACGAAATAGCCACTGGAGTCGGTGATGGTGCCGCCCAGGACGGGCTTGAGGCCATCAGAGGCGATACTGCAGAGTAGATCCTTGGCCTTGTCAAACTGCATGCTATTCTGGATTGGACCGAAGAAGACATCTGGCTCGGTACCTTCGCCCACCTTAAGGGCCTGGACGAACTGCACGAGCTTGTCCCGGAACTGGTCGTAGATCTTCTCGTGCACGTAGAGACGCTTGATCATCATGCAGATCTGGCTGGAGCAAAGAAAGGAGAGAATGGCCACCTGTGGAGTTAGTTAAGTGGACTCGGGTAGAGCGGGTTTGTTTACCTTGGGGATGACGGCGTCGATATCTATATCGTCGCAGATGATGGCTGGATCATTGCCACCAAGCTCGAGCGTCACTCGCTTCAGCGTCTTTGCACAGCTAGCCATCACCCGCCGACCAGTGGCTATGGAACCAGTGAAGCTAATCTTGTTGATGCCTGGATGCTCTGTGATCATGGGACCCAGGTCATCCCCACCGCTGAGGACCTGCATCACACCGGGGGGGGAAGCAGCGGGCGGCAAGCTCACCAAGCTTGAGGCTGCAGTATGGGGTGTAGGGAGAGGGCTTTACGATGACCGCGTTACCAGTGTAGATCGCAGGGACGATCTTGCCAATCGCCAGAAGAACGGGGAAGTTCCAGGGCACAATGGCACCGGCCACTCCCATCGGGACATAGCGCTGGGTGATCTTCGCCTCTTCATTATCCTGCACCACTGTCTCCGGGATTTTGATGGCACTTAGGGCGAGACACCACTGGACTGCCTTTCCCACTTCCACGTGGGACTGATCCAGGGGCTTGCCTTGCTCCTGGGTCAATAGCGCCGCTAGGGCATCCTTATTCGCTTCGATCTGGCCGGCGAAAGCCTTGATCGCAGCCCGACGTTTGTTGAAAGAGGTCTTGGACCACTGACGGAAGGCCTGGCGAGCAGCGGTCACGGCACGATCGAGGTCTTCGGCGGTGGAAACGGGCACCTCAGGGTTGGGCTGCCGGTTTGCAGGATTGGTCCCATGGCGGGTTTTTGCCGTGGAAGTCAACTCATTATTGATGACGTTGTTGAAGGTCTTCTACTGATTAGTGCCATTTTCCGGAGACCGGTTGCACCGACGTACCGTAATATTCAAAGCCATGGTTGCAGTCTGGGGGTGTCTTCGTCCAAAGCATATGAAGATATTGATCTAGTCAGGGTAAATGACCCCGGTAATAAACACTCCAGTGAACCAGGCCAGCCCCCAATTAGATCGACAAGCTGACCAGGATGACCTTGGTTGAAGATACAGTTCGGGGTTTTGCCTATCTCCGGCTCACGGCATACATGCCTTTAAATCCGGGCAAACAGCCCACCAAAGTTTATGCAAATTAACTAATTTAGCAATCGCAATTCATTAATATGCCGTATGAGTCATTCTGCGTGGCACGCTTCCTTCCGTTCCGGGCCGGTCAGACTATCTCACTTTTATCCGCTCATCCGGGGCAATGCTAGAGCGACAGCAACCTGAGACAGGATATGCCTCGGCTCCGACTCCCGTGCCTTTCTGGCTAGGCAGTATGGCGGAATTGCAGGCAGCCACTGTTGCTAGACGAGATGCTCAGCCTGTCACAACCTCGGAACAATTACGTGGTACTGGAAGTCCCTTTTTGCCTTTCATGATACCCAGCTGATTAGCCTTTTGCAATAAAAGATAGCATTTACAGGCATGAATTTTTTGTAGTTGTCTGGTGTCTGAAGGGGAACCCAGATGCCAAGCTGGCCACAACAAAGTGGCTCTATGCCATAACTCGGAAGAAATCGCCGAAAGCGAGATCCCTGATAACGAGTGCAGCAAGACTTGAGCCCACCAAAGCTTGTTTTCATGTACTGGATATTTTGTGGGACGAAAAATGCGTGGGGTTACGAGGATAAAAAGATCTGGGAAGAGTGCAGGAGAAACTAGCAGCTTCATGGATACTCACAAATTCCGGTGAGCTAAGCCCGAAGCCACGAGAATCGCAAGAGATAAGAGAATCAACTTAATTTGACCGTCTCAGCCGGTGGAGATCAGGTCGTATAGGAATTGGATATATGTGCGAGAAAGGGTTGGCGCTAAGGAGGACCATGTTGAAGGAGAGAGCTTGCGTCAGGACGTTGAGATGGGCGAGTCATTGAGGGTCTCTAACAGATCCCTACCCCGAAGAGCCTCCTTCGAGTTTATCGAGCTATGAGTCGAAATATGCAGTCTAAGCTATAAATAAGACGTCATGGGCAGAATCAATTTGAACTTAAATCGACAGCGATTCAGACTGTACATGTTTTGTATGTGTATATAGCTACAACACCCAAAACGCCAACCAGGTATCAACAGTCTGCACCAAGATTTCAGTTCTCATAATAGTTTATTTTCATAATAGCCAGATAATATCATAAATCAGATTACGCGTTGCATTCAGCCATTTACTTCAACTTTCAGACGACGCATTGTTGAGTCGATAGGTGGCATTGTTGCCGAAAAGATCGTCGAACGATATCCCCAGGTCCATGTTCATGTCCATCGTTTCATCCATGCCCATGCTGAAATCCGACAACCCATTGGGGTTTGGCATTTGTTGTCGCGTCGCGGATTCCGGAGCCATGTTGAAGTTGTTGTTGACCGTGTTGTTCGGGTTCGACTGGAAATTGTATCCGTGCCAAACGAAGTTCTGGTTCGGTATCGAGACCAAGTCCGGAATGCTGAGTGGCTCGGTTGGGGTATGGCCCAGCAAGATTGGGGAGTGAATCCGTGACAAGCTTCGGGGATGAGAGGCGTGGAAATGGCTTGGCACTGATGACTTGATCGCCGAGGGATTTTCGACGGGGAAATACGGGATACTGTTAAAGTACAAGTTTGGGATAGTGACTCCAACGCTGGACAAGTCGCCTGGTGTAGTTGGTCCCATGCCTGTTGGCTGCGGTGTTGAGTCGAAAGGATATCCCGAGGAGGGCATTCCGTGGTCGTGTTGGAAGTGGTCATCTTCCAATGTAGACATGAGCTGGGTGGATAAAGCGAATGAGTTGTCGGACGGGAGCATCATTGGCATAAGGTCTTGGAGCTTGGCCGGGTTGGTGAATTGCTTAGTCCATGCCAAGCTCCATGGCTCCTGGTTGGACAGAGACGGGTTCATGGAGCCTACTGAAGAGATCTGTTCTGGAGTCGACATGGTTTCCTTCAGTAGCTCGGGTATGTTTGAAATCCATGTTGGCTGGCTGCTAATATAACTGGTCCGGTTGTTGGCGGCCTTTGTCTTGTACAGGCTTTGTTGCCAAGGATTCAAAGGATCGGGTGTGGAAGGCTGGGACATTACGGGCGTTGGGAAGGTGTTTGAACGATGTGGCAATATTTTCTCGAATGAAGCGTGGGTATGCTTAGGATCGGCAGCGCGGTTAGATTGCGCGGGTCGCTTGAGATTGACCGGCGTATTAGAGCTCTGGCTATTCCTCAATATCTCAGGCAAAGTCCTGAAGAGGCACTGCAGTCTAATCAGTCATGGTCATTCAAAATTTATCATGGGAAACACATACGTTTAAGCTCTGCAAACACCGGTCGGCAACCAAACTCTTCTTGGCCAAACCGGCCAAGGTGTTCTTGCCCTCCACGGCATCTTTCAGGGCACCATCTTTGGTCGTCGGTGAATCGGGGTTTTCAATTACAAAGAAGATCAAAGAAAGAACAGCAAAATAGGTCGTATACATGGTGAACCAGAACGGTCCATTAAGCAAGCCTCTCCTTTGCATGCCGGTCGTGATGTGAACGATGTTTCGAGAGACACTGACACAAGCCGCTGCGCAGGCATAGGATCGCTTATCCACGCTACGGGCTTGAGAACCACCGGAGACGTAGCGAAGGAAAGGACGGTACATGGCCATCTGCACATGGGCATAACTGATACGCAATAATTGCCTAACGCTAAGGAATGTTAGTCGAAATTCTTTAGGTACGACACGAGTACCGTTGGGACTGACCGTTCCAATTGGGGCGACACTTCTGTACCCGGCCGCAGAGCCGGAGGTAATTCCTCCATCCAATTTTGCAGATCCCGCTCAATCTCCCGGACTTTAGAATGGCTGACCATATATCGCTGGTCTGACTTGGAGCGATAGCGAGCATTCTTGGCGGGATAGATATATTTAACCACCTTCAGAATGATATTGGAAAGGCGTATGTGCGCATTGCACCCAGCCATTAGCGGTGTGTAGTGAGACGGCGGTTTCGTGATTCCCTCTGTGGTATGGAAATCCCAATAAACCTCCATCGGGTACTCCTGGTCAATGTCGTCGTCACTTAGCATTTGAGGGAGACCCAGGAGGGTGCTCACGTAAACATCCATATTGCGGACGACCCAAAATATGCGCTTCCGAAGTTCACGCTCAACAGGCTTGAAGTCGGCCGTGACGGTGCGATGGAGACCCAATCGCAGTGCTGAACGAAGCGCAATTCTCACGTAGGAATAACATGTGCTCAACTTGGTAGAAGATTGAAGGAAAAGCACCATGAAACAAATTGCTTGGAGAGAAAGCAAGTCACGGCAGTCAGTGACCTCCAGCAATTGTCGCCCAGCCTTGAAAAATTGGAACCTGTAAAAGGGGATGAGTTGTTGGCCATGATCAATGACAGATCAATAAGGAAACATACCCTTGGCCTATTGTGCCCTCGTAGCCAGAACAATCTAGGGTTCCGGCTCCATCATCAGAGAACAAGCACCCAACAGCAATGACGATATACAAAAGCGGCAGGAAGGAGTTCTCCTCGTCTGTGAATTGCTCCGGAGGGGTGTCGTAGATGCGCTCGAGACTTGCGAAAAACGAGGGCTCGTGCACAAATCTCATCAAGGAGCAGGCATGGTCAATCGCATTATGACACAAGTGGCGAGCTATCCTTCGAGGAGGCAGTTCATGTGTAAGAGGCAAGGTGGTAACCTGGGGCGATTCAGAAATGGACTTCGGGCTATCCAGCATATGCGCCGAAATCGAGGGCCTAATCTCTGCGGTGCCGAGCTGTTTGCGTAATCGACGAACAAAAGTCATTCCCGACGTGTGTCCATGATAATCAAAATGACCCTGGTCATCACGATCTAAGCAACCCGAGTTATCGACCATTGTCTCGAGTAATCCCTCATCTCCGGCTTCTGGCGCTGGGTCCGGTTGTACACTCAACGGTTTGGCGCTTTCAGTCGCTTGCGTTTCCTTTTGAGCGGGGGTCCATCGCTGTTCTTTCGCGTACACGTCGAGTTGCGGGTCATCATGTTCGGCCGCGACATATTGCGGGGCAGGGTTTCGACGGCGTTTGGAGGGCTGGGCAGAGGAACATTCTACAGAATGACTGTTAGGCCACGAACGATTTCTTGCATTATCAAGCGCACAAAAGAGCCAGGCGTACGATAACTATGAACTGCGCAATGGGTGCACGGCTGCTTGCCGTCGCACTTGATCTTTTTTCTGCGACACTCGTCACATGCCCGGCCAACTCGCCGCCTTTTCTGCATGGGCAGTGATCTAGGGTCTCCAGCAGGGGAGCCATCATGGCAAAAGGCGCCATAGGAGTGATCGGCTTCATCATGCGAATACTTGACGTCATTCGGGGATGCAGGGTCATCCTCATTCTTGCCAGAATATGGCCTCGTTGTAGTCGCCATGATTGTTGATCTGATGGCCGCAGACTGCACGGATTTATGTAAGGAGGAATGTTGGGCTGGGCGGGCGATCCGGACTGAGTGACTATCACGGTTATTTCATGGATCGCCCTCCTTGCCGCGATATTTGTAAACAATACGAGTGAGTCAAAGCCGTTGAGTAGTCAATGACCTCTGCTGAACTGCCAACGGTGCGAAGCCAAAGGTCGACGCCACCGCGGTGCAGTATCAATATTTGTGTATTCATTACCCGACCAGATGGCCCAATATGAAATCTGCTGTTAATATATATTGTATACCTGCTAATAATTAAGTTAAAAAGCATGCCTCGAAACGCTAAATTTGCAGCGATACGGAAAAGGGATGGTATTTCTCATAGCGGTCTGGAATGACTGATTTCGGTTCCATTGACTTGACGCAGTGATAATCCTGTTTGTCACATGAAATACGGAAATAGCGCGGGCATAGCACGGAGATCGGGAATGGAATGACTAATTTCAATGCCATTGACTCGAGGATAGCTCTGTGTCTCCACATGGAGTGCGAAAATAGCTCGGAGATAGCGACTGGAATGGCCACTTTAATTCCATTGACTTAGCGAATATAGCCATGTGTGTCGAAATGGAACAAAGAGATATCGTGCGGATATCGCGTCCCGCTCAGCTGAATAAACCTTCCTCGCCGGGGTGGCAACGTTCGAGAAGGGCCGAACCTTTCTATACGTTCTCCTCCGCTTTGGCGGCGGAGTTGCACCGCGTCCGGAGGCTTCATTCCGAGTAGGTGGCACGGTGGTCTGACCCATAGTTGTCGTGATAAAGATGGCATTTCGTGAGTAGGTAGGGTCTGTTCGTCACGGCTTGGTCCATAGTGGAGTTTCTCCCCGGGTGGCTCAGCGACCAGAAGGTCAGTTCGCTGGCGTCTTCGATATGAATCGAGGCTTCTCGGCAAACAAGGTACCGTGCTCCATGTACTGTCGTAGTTGGTATCCCTGTTGCTGCTCGTTGAGTCTCAGAACCTGGGCTAAACAAACAAGGAACTGCGCTCGAGGTGATTGTCCGTTATAACTGTTCTACTGTTCGAAACTATTATACAGCCAACGAAAGAATTGGGGGGGGGGGGGGGGGGGGTGCACTGAATATAGAACAGAATATCATGATTTAGAAAACGATTATGGAGCATAAACTGCATCAAAGTGGCCGGCGGCCCGTTTGTGACCACTACGCATGAAATGATTTCTATTTATACCACTCATTTATTTGCGTTCCTGTTGAAGTCACACAATAGCAAACTTTGATCTCGCTCTCAACTTCGCGCCGAAGGTCCAGAGGCCAAACATGCCAAAAATCCCAATCACACTTAAGCCACCTAAGACACTGACACCCTTAGCTACACCAAGATTGATGAACAGTGGTCTCGCGAACAAGATACTTCCACAAGCCAGGGCGCTCCTCAAGAAGTCATTCGCAGCGAACAAAGACGCAGCGTATTGAGGGTACGAGAGAGGAACGTAGACAAAGATACACTGCATGATGATGAAGACGCTGGCAGCGTAGACAGTGATGCCGATGGTTGGCACGATCCAGTGGATGCTGGCGCGAGCGGTCCAACCGAAGATGAAGAGCCCGATTGTAGGGCCAAAGCAGGCGAAGAGAGCAGGCACCAGGCGGGACTCCTGCGCGCGCAGACCGTGCGCAATGATATCGGGGATGAGTATGAACTGAAGGTACAGGCAGTAGATAGCAATGCCAATTAGGCAGGCAACGAGTACGCAGGTGAAGACGACACCAATCATGCCAAGCGAGAACCCATAGTAGACGGGATAAACTAGAGGAAACACCTCGAAGAAACTGTAGTAAATACCGTAAACCAGAGCCATATACAGGTTCACGAATGCGATTGCTGGGTCCTTAATGGTAATCTCCATCGGCTTGATAATGGCATCCAGGAGGATAGCTGAAGGCCGGAGGTTTTTCTGGTCAATCTCAGACTGCGCCAAGAGTCGCTTGTCGCCTGTTAATTTTCGAAGCCGATTGGCGCGGCGCAGGAGGATGTTAGGGGTAGAGGTTTCAGGAAGCAGCATGAACATCACGAGGAAGATGGGTCCGGCTGCCCAGAGGATTTCCCATAGTGACCAGCGCCATCCCTTGGCGGTCACTGCGAATCCAGAGAGGAGGGGACCAAGAGCCGGCCCACAGTATGCCGCCGAGACCCAAGCAGTACTACTTATCCGTAAGCCAATATTCTTTACTTGCCGAGAATCAATACTCACAGTGCATATGGTAGGTAGAGAAGAGAGTACATATCTTGCATCGTGGCTGGCCCGATTGCCAGGCAAGGACTCCCGAAGAACCCTTGGAGGAACCGCAGAACCAGAAGGCCAGCGAAGTTATCAACAAGCGCGGTGGGAAGGGAAAGGATAGTAAATAGCGCCATTGTTACGGCGTAGACTGGAGATCTCCCGATGACTGAAATCTCCGATAAAGGAGCCCAGAGCAGGGGCCCAATACCGTAGGCTAGGACATAGAGGGAAAGCGGGAGCGATGCGGCTGTTGGTCCAACATTGAACCTTTCCATCACGCCCTGCGCACTCGAGGTGTAGATCGCGGAGCCAGTGTAGACGACGAAGGTGTACAAGCAAATGGTCGAAGAGACAATAAATCGTTTCCCGTTGGACCAGTTCTGAGGGTTTGCTGGATCATCAGTGGTATACCAATCCACGAGGACGTTGCCGTCGGCTGTCCTTTGTGGGACAATTGGCCTCGTCTGCGTCCGTTCAAGGGCAAGCTCCACTTCGATTTCCAATCGTTCTTCAGAGTAGGGGGTAGTTTCTAGTCGACTCCTCGTCCGGCTAAGATGCAAACCTTCTAGATCATGATCGCGTAGGTGTTGTTGCTCGATGTTTTCCTCCTCACGTTCAAGAGTCTCCGGAGGTGCAAATGTACTTTCGCTACTTGCTGGGTTCGATGGTGGTGTTTGTTCATTGGTGGGTTTCGTGGTAGCAACGGGTTCGCGCTCTTTTTCCGGCAAGTTGAGAACAGCATTGTATGTTGCTGGGAATTTGAAATCAGGAAACTCCTCAGGATAGAGCAGGACTGTATTGCGAGTGACCAATCGAATGAGTTGACCCAAAGGGGCTTCTCTCAAGATATCCCTCATGTATATTAGATCCTTTCGCTATGTTTTGAAGATGATTGATAGCGAGAAGATGGAAGGATTATATGAGACACGGAAAAGTCCAAGTCGAAGGAGGAAAGTTGTTGAACTGAATGGGTATTATAATTCTTTTATAAGGAGAGGGCATCCTTCATCTCCCAGAGCTTACAAATACGATGTGACCTATAAACAGGATTTTAGTATTGCATTTGTGGGCTCATTTTAAGTCCATTGCTAGGCAAACTGTATGTATTGCAATTATTCTCCATATGGAAATCTAACAAGGCATCGGCTCATACGGCATATTAGTCATATTAGTCTGTTGCGGTTAGTAGTTACTTCGTACGGACTTATACTATGGTGGTCGTTTGTCGGATTTAAGGGTATTGATGCCGTGAGCAGGAGATAAAAAAATGCCGAACTACTAAATCAACCATGGTCTTTCAGCGACTAGTAATTGAGTTTATTCCCTCAAAAAGCATGCCTCGAAACTCTAAATCTGCAGCGATACGGAAAAGGGATGGTATTTCTCATAGCGGTCTGGAATGACTGATTTCGGTTCCATTGACTTGACGCAGTGATAATCCTGTTTGTCACATGAAATACGGAAATAGCGCGGGCATAGCACGGAGATCGGGAATGGAATGACTAATTTCAATGCCATTGACTCGAGGATAGCTCTGTGTCTCCACATGGAGTGCGAAAATAGCTCGGAGATAGCGACTGGAATGGCCACTTTAATTCCATTGACTTAGCGAATATAGCCATGTGTGTCGAAATGGAACAAAGAGATATCGTGCGGATATCGCGTCCCGCTCAGCTGAATAAACCTTCCTCGCCGGGGTGGCAACGTTCGAGAAGGGCCGATCATCAGATTGAACCACACTTTCCGTATGTTCTCCTCCGGGGTGACATTGACTATCATTACCGGAGTTTACCGGAGCTTAGAGACGAAGCGTCATACACATATCTATGTATAATGGAACTTGCCTAATTTTTAAAATATCTTAGAGCCCTAGAGTCGACCATTTTCAAGTACTTGACCCGCACCGGAAGCAAACATCTTACACCTCTGCTCTCCAACGAATATGTCTAGTTTCATCTCGACCGACCTTATTCTCGTCACCGGCGGGAATGGTTATGTTGCGCAACATGTGGTAGACCAGTTGCTACGCCAGCAAGGACAACCTCGCGTTCGCGCAACCGTGCGTTCCGAAGCATCGGCGAAACAGATCAAAGACTATTTCGCTCCAGATCTATCCTCGGGGCGTCTCTCCGTGGTATTGGTACCAGACATTGTGGCGGAGGGCGCCTTTGACGAGGCTTTGAAAGGCGTTACCCATGTGGCTCATGTGGCCTCCCCTTTGGCTCTCGGTATTGACAATGTCGAGGCCGATCTGCTGAAGCCAGCCATAGAAGGAACAGTCGGGATTATTCGGGCAGCCGTGAAGTTCCCATCTGTTCGATCAATGGTAATCACGGGCTCGTTTCTATCGGCCTTTGACCCGGCCCATAGCCTCCGCCCCGGCTACACATACACGCCGGATGATTGGAATCCGATATCCTACAGCGAAGCAAGCTCCCAAGAGCTGGACTTGACGCAGTGGGAGCCAATCTGGCGGCCATTGATTACCTACATGGCATCTAAGAAACTTGCGGAGGAGGCGGTTTGGAAAGCGCGAGACGCCATCAAGCCTCGGTTTGACATAAGCGTCGTCCTGCCAGCTTACATTGGTGGCCCATCTGTTCTGCCGTTACAACGAGGGACTCAGTCCGGTAGTCTCAGTGTGCAAGTCCTTTGGAAGGCTGTCACCGAAGAGTGCCTACCACCGGTTGACTATCCCTATTGGGTTGACGTGCGAGATGTCGCGAAAGTCCATGTCCAGGCGCTGCTCCACCCAGAGGCTGATGGGAAACGATTCATCCTTGCTACTCGGGGGGTAACATACTCTGACGTGAGTGAAGATCCATATTCGTCCTCTCATGGTATAGTCCGGATGCTGACTATAGATTTTGGTATTGTAGATTGCGGAGATCGCTCGAAAGCATTTTCCTCAGCTCCAACCGTCGACGGAGCAGCAGAGCGATGTAAGCGTAGAACTTACTGGGTCAAATTTATTTTGCTAACTAGCCTTATTTAGGTGCAATATTACCAAGTGGACTCCTCGAAAAGTCTCAGGATCCTGAACCTTGGCCCCTGGATCCCAGTTGAAAAAATGGTGGTTGACACAATAAGCCAGCTTTTGGATACCAGAGACACGAATTGAGTGAGATACGGGCAGAGCAGTTCCGTTTTCTTGGTAGGCATGAAATGTTGGACTACTATAGCGGATCTTAGGCTGAAACTTGAAAAAATATTGGTCCTGGAATTTATTGTCAACTAAATTCTTTCAATTCAACTATTCTCGACATATCCACCCATACTATTACACACAGGGTGAACAGTAAGGATGCTATCATTAGTCGAATGGATTACTGGTGTAGTTTATAACCGAGTATCCGTCCGCCAAGGATTACGAATCACGTGCGTGCCATGCTCCGAAGTCAAATTAAACTTCGGCAATTGCATGCGCTGGCGGGCCTTTCGGATACGCTACCGCATAATGACCTCATCGCTTGCCGAACTGTAATCCCGTCGTGCTGCCCACCATAAACATCCTATGGCTGCCCTGTTGCAGATTTGCTTCATAATTAATTTATATTCTCGTACTGTCCAATCACATCAATGAATATGCCCATAACTCAACGTGCCGTCGTCATCGAAGAGCCTAAATTGGCCAGACTAGTTTGACAGAAATCTGTCGGTACGACAACGTATGGTCAAAAACAGATATATTGGAATCTCTAACTAACTAAAATGACAAAACCCGCGTCTTCAACAATCTGTGCGGACATAGATGACTAACTGTAATATGCACTTTTGTATGGTATGGCTGGTACCATGTGTCACATGATATTCAGGGTAAAATACCCTGTTTCCACCATGTATTCAATCTTAGTATTCGACATAGTTCATGATCGTCGGATCCCGAAACTCCGTGATGATTATATTCTTGTCAAAACAATAGCTGTGGGTCTGAATCCTACGGATTGGAAGCACATTGACTTTATCATGAAAGAACCTGGGCCGTTAGTTGGCTGTGATTATGCAGGGATTCTCGAAGATGTGGGCTCCAAGATTACGAAGCCATGCAAGAACGGGGACGGAATATGTGGTATGGGACATGGTTCCAACGCGTTCCAACGCGTTCCAACACGAAGAAGGTACTTTGCCGAGCATATTGTGGTGAAGGGAGATATCCAGATCGGAATTTTCGACAACATCAATTGCGAGCAGGCGGCTACTCTAGGTATTGGTATTGCGGCGGTCGGCCAGGGCTTGTACCAAGGACTGAGTCTGACGATACCAACCGACTCAGTAAAGACGGCAGAGCCAATGTTGATTTATGGTGGAAGTACTGCAACCGGTCAGTGCCTTGGGAATTCAGTTCGCTAATGGCCAGTAATTGGCGCTTTTTCGGATGGAGGGTTTTGTATGTCAAAGTGTGAGACTCCACGCGAAGGACTTTTAGGAACGTACCAAAGGCAAATAGTTTTATCCAAATTGCCATGTATAAACTAATGTCTCGATACGTAGGGTTCTTAGTCTCTGAAGCATCCCGAACTTCAAAAGTCCCCTTTTAATTTACTCTCAATCAGTTGATCCACATGCCGATGTGCCGGAGCTCCTATACAGATATTGTCCTGGTGATCTTCTTATCAGTCTTCGGCCCGGACATACATTAGTACAGAGCTCGTCTACTTCAACAGCAGTTGTTACGTAGAATTCAACTTGCGACATAATCCCGTTAAAATAATGATATATTTGATGGATAGAGAAGTTTTGCAGCATCATCCGCCGTTGGCTTACTTGTAGTTAAAATGCCTGGTAAAGATACTCGTGTCATTTGGTACATTCGGATACTGGAGAAAAGGACCAGTGTGCCAAGAGGGCACGACAACCTTGCCGGCTGAGATGCCCTTCTTTTGAAGATCGAGGCCCTCTTGTATTTTTTCCAACCCTCCTATAATCACAACAGGATCTGGTTTGGCCTGCAAATGACTAGACAAGAGAGCGTCAGGCACGTAGTCTTATCATATTGTCTCGCCAACCTCGACCTCATCAGTTGAAATTGAAACAGCGAACACTAATCTTCAGTCAACAACGCATTTGGCAAATATTGGATGGATTGTGGTAACATTCTTATTGTGGACATGTTCGGGCAAAGAGATGTCCAAAGGAGGTAATGTACCAACGAGTGCCCCTCCGCCAAGCTTTTAGAGCAGTTGTCCGGCGACCGTGTAGCTTTTCTTGGAAATGGCAGCATCAAATATGCCAACCAAGCCACTGCCATTTAGTTCGGCAGCGATGTCGTCAGCAACGCTGTTCTTGGTATGTTGTTGAAGAAATACTATCAGGGGTAGCTTTTCAGACTAGGAATGTGGGTGGTGAAAGTAAAATTCAAAGTTAATGGTGTAAGGGAATAGGTAGTTAAGATTTTTTCAATTTGCATAAAAGCCTAGTCCATAATTATCGGTGATATATAAATTATATATAAAATTTGAATTATTCATGTTCCTTTCGGAGCCCATGCATCGTGAAGGGCATGTACATCTGTGGGTGTATTTTAAAAAACGAACAAGGAATTCGGACTGAAGCAACAAGGGTTTTCACACTAAGAATGTATAAAAGCTAATGCCAAGCCGTATAGCGGATTGTTCATGTGCGACAGACCTAGGACCGAAATTGAGAGGAAGATATGTAAACTTTCGGTTTTCGACGGGACTAACATCTGAGAAGCATTGGATTGAGATCGATTGGCGAAAACATCCATCCGTTGTTCATGGAACTCTGCCTGATTCGATCGAAGAAAGCATATTTCTATCAGCCGGTTAAAAGCGGATCGGGCGGCTGCGGAAGATAATATGTTTTTTGGAGCAAAATTTGCTGCTGCATCGTTGGAAAGAATCTCGGAGGCTATTACACGGTTTGCAAAGGCAATGCGAACTAAATTTGGTCTATAACTTCGCCACCCGTTGGTATTCTGCATCATCGGCACATGGCTATATATACTGAAGGAAACTATAGAATAGGCTTACTAGGACACAGCTAAGCTAAAGAAAATATGAAAATATGTGTGGTCCAATTTCAGACGTCTGGAAGCTAAGACCCCAGAGGTCGACCACGCCAATAATTTCCACTGTATTCTGAATGCATCAACCAGTGGGAGCTTGGAAGCTCTTAAATGATCTTGTGGGTGGAAGGGTCTAGGTTCCCATGCCAATCGTATTTTAACAGTCCCAATGTTTTCTTTGCCGCAGACGTATACTTCGTATGTGGCGGTCGTCAACAAATATGCGATATAGCCTGTCTTCTGTTCAAATAATCGGTTATATATTCGTCCTCACCTTCGAATATCGCAACGCAGCCTGAGCTGGGCAATAAGAAAATAACGAGGATCGAGGGACTGCTATAAGGTGAAGATGTCCCGGTAGGCCGAGATCATGACTTTCGTAATTCAACCTTTCCGGCCAGTCTCCATTGAAAGATGACGACGGGATATCTCTTAATTCCAGACATGATGGGCTCTTTGCTTTCACAGGTTCCCTACAGAGTGTGTTGAATAGTACTTACAAAAGATGTTCCCATTGTGTTGAAGAGTCATTAACAGCAAGAACGTGGCCAAGTTGGCTAAGTAAAGTTCATATACAGTACTGTACTTAATCTCCAACAATACATTCATTTTGCATGGCTCAAGCTCCATCCTTCAAAATGATAAACTTGCTCTTCTCAACATTCTCAACGTCATTGAACTTGGTGATATCCAATCATCGGACAGTATACCCTCCATCGATGAGAATGTCCGCCCCAGTGGTATAAGAACTGGCATCACTGACGAGGTAAACAAACGCCCCCTTCAACTCCTTAGGGTCCGCTTGTCGGCCCATCGGAATCATGCTATTCCAAGCATCCAGAAGGTCATCCCCAATGCCTCCAGCCAAGCCAGTATCAATATATCCTGGTGAGATGCTATTGACCCTCGCAAAGCCACGCCACTCGTTAGCCAGAATTTTGGCCAGGTGAACGCAACCTGCCTTAGCAACATTATAGCTTGCGAATTCAACTGGCATAGTGGCGATATGCCCACCGATGCTGGCATTGATGACAAAGGAGCCATAGCCCTGTTCTCGAAAGTAGGGCCCGATGACTTGGGCACAATACGCCGTGCCGTTAAGGTTGATATTGATGATTCTGTCCCAGTCTTCCCTTGAAGCATCAAGCATGGTACTGTGATGGACAGCCCCGGCATTTGCAATGAAAGCGTCGACTTGACCAAACTCCCGGATCACATCTTTAACGAGCTGCTCGACGCTGCCAAAGTTGGAGATATCGCAGTGGTATGCTTTGGCTTTGACATTGTAGTTGCTCGACAGTTCAATAATATTGGCGTCGGCTTCGTCCTTTCGCGAGGTGTAGGTGATAGCAACGTTGGCGCCCATCTCTGCGCAGCCGCGGGCTGCCTCGATGCCGATTCCCTGAGGGCCTGCGGCGCCGGTGATGATAACGACCCTATCTTTCAGGCTGAGAAGGTCAAGAAGACGGTTGGCGGGGGGAACGTTAAGAGGCATGGTGATGGCTTGCTTCTTCTTGCGGTACGTATCCTAGGTGTCGCAAGGTAGTGCGTTTACTCTTTTATACCTTCCAAAGTATTTATATCCCGGATCAAACGGGGATAACAGCATCTTTAGGTAATTAGATTCCGTTATATCCGGTAACGCCATGTTTAATGCGATGCCGGAGTTTAGACGACGTCACCGCGTAAATCCGAGCTCCAATCAGAGTATATCGTCGACGGATACATAAACCTCGACCTCTTTTGGTAAACTTGAATATGTGGGGCTAAGCATATAGGTACGGTAGTTAGTGGCGGACAAGGAATGCTGTTAATCTAGCAGTTGGACTGGGAATCTTTGGTAGTGAATTCTGAGTATTTCTTCTGATATCTTCTCACCGCATTGATCACGAGTTGTAAAGGCCCCTTTGGATTATTGTCAATTACCAACTGAGGTCCGGAGATAGACATACCCCATGCTTGCGAGCGGCCACTAGATCTCTTATGCAATAGACCGAATTCTTGCCAGTGCACAATCGACAATCCTGGACTTCCAACATTTCTGACATAGTTCAATGCCGCCGATAATACACTTTACCTTTGAGATTCTGGGGATATTTGTCACAGCTGAAAGAATTGAATTTTCCCAGTTTTAGTCGGGCGTGTATAGTCTTGGGGAGGAGGAGGAGATTGGGGTATTTCGGCTTTTTCTGGGTTGCATCTCGGCCCCTCGGATACCAAACGAGGGGCAATGGAACCCGAGAGTGGCCGCATACTTTATTTAACAACGATCCTCACTACGTGAATTGGCAAGCAGCAGTTGGCCTTCAATTTTATTTGGGCGTGGTATCTCTGAAGATTGCCGGCATGGAACCCTTGATTTCAAAACTGTTCTAGTGTGTTTGACTTTCGGCTAAACCACGATTCAATTTCCTTTCGCCTCAAAGTACCGGTGCCACAGATGCAGTTAATCTCAGTAATGGAGAATAAGGGTGATGATGATGAAAGTCACTTTGGCGATCTTGTTACTCAATTAATTTGGCAGGTAGACCTGAGATTGCATCATGTCTAGCCAATTAATTGTAAGCTCTACACCTCTACACCCGGTAACTTAATTTGTAGTAGATACCATTAGGCACACAGTGTATGCACATGTTTTGGCGAATCAATGGAAGACAGTATTAGGATTTTACTGTTGTGGAAAGGGATGAAGGAAGGGAATAGAAGAGACATATAGCCTATGTGGTCAGGTCTGGATCAATTAAGGTCGGAACTGTATCTGGCCTCAGATGCCCTCCCTGTTGTTCCAATCCCGTTTGCTGCTCAAATTCATGTTGCGAAGAAGGGAGAAAAAACCCGCCGTTTCGGCTTCGAATTCTCCGTAAATCGACCACAGTGTGCTATTGAATTAGGATGGTGCTTCGTTACTCAAAGATAGAACGAGTTGCTGATGCAATCAGGTGAAGGGCCAATCCAAGAGGCTCGAAAGGTCTTACTGCGATGCCATTCGCTCAATCAAGATACCCTAGCTCGAGCATTAGGTTTCTAGAGCATTTGAATCTTCCACATTTTCAAAATCAAGAGAAAGAGACACGATCTCTAGATTCTGAAGGAGATTTTCCTCAATGTTGAAGCCTCAAGGTGAAGATCCCTCATATTCTTTTTCCATTTCGCAATTCGGATTTAATTTAAAACAACGTCCCAATAAGAGACCTCAAGGGCGTATTCTTGCTCTGGCCGACACCAAATTACCAAGGGGATATTTGTATCTTTCCTATGAGAATAATTTCTATGGTAAACGCATACAGGATTGTTCTCCTTACCGCTAGCTGAGGGTCTGTGATAGTTAACTATTTCGGAGCGATTCCCCATTAATATTGATATATCTTGGCATTGGGATTGGCTAATCGATAAGAGTGTAGGTGGTGGCTCCAGTTTCGGGACGTACTGTACTTCATTTCCAGATGGGACAAATGGACCGGTGGTCGGTTCATGTAGCAGAGCTGTTAGACTTTTTCCACGCCACCGGTTTAGTGTTCAAGATCGCCAATCACCATCTTAGAACGGTATACAGTGGAACAACGACCGCAATGATCCTGTGTGACAGCAAATCAGCCTTGCAGGCAGTTCAAAACGCAGGAAACAAATTTGGGCAACCGGTCACTTGCAGTCGGTTTGAAGAGTGTTCGTTAATCTCCCAGGCGCCCCTCCGAATAACTCATCATTGCCAGAGCGGGTTGCGGTGTTATGCATTTTATTCCTCCTCACGTGCTGGCGAATATTTCCAACACAGGAGAACTACCACCAGCTCCCTGAGTGGCTGAAGTCACGTCCGGCACAGCTCCTTCAAGCACATCCAGCTTGGATGGACTGAATCCCTTGGCCGCTCATGCCGGACCGGCTTGCTACATCACTCCAGGACTATCCATTCGAAAGTTGGTGCATTCCCTTAATATTTGGTCTGTCTGTGATTTGGCCATACGAAGTCACCGACTGTCTACTGTCATACGGGGACTCAGAGTACTCACTAACCAACCCTGTCTTTTTATGAGGAATCTCTCCAACTTGTCTCCAAGTCCGCTATTGGCGTAAAACTATCCGTGGCTGGTAGATAGAACACGAATTCAGCCAGTAACGGGTGAACTGCAACCACAATTACAATGTTGACTGCGTCTTAGCTTAGCTGTTGGGGTATCGCCCTTGAACCTACACGGATTGTTTGTCTGAGTCTCTGGGCCACGCTGACCTCGGCCCTCTTGGAATTGTAATATAGCATTGCGATCATCAAACGACGTGAACAGCGTTCATCCTGGTAAGCACTTGTTTGTATCGACTCTGCTCATCTCGATGTTAGATATCTTTGAATCGGCTCGAAGAGAATGCACAGGACGGTCACGGCGCCCTCAGGGCCCTCGGAATCCACATCTGGGGGTCACAATGGCCTCTGCTAACGGCCGCACTGGAATCTCCTTTAAATACTCGGCCCATTGCGTCCGTCGTAACCAAGAGTTGGCCTCGTCAAGCTCACCGGCTTGGATGACGGTGGGGTTAGTGCCCTAGGACTCGGTGAAACACCGCTCAAGCTGGCTCACTAAGGATTGAACAACATACTGGGGGCCGCTGGGGGTGCTACGGGGCTCGTACTATGGCCCAGGCCGTTGAATATGGATATAATGCGAATTGGTTCCACAGAAAAATAACTGCTAGCATATGGGACTGCATCGAACCTTGAATATTATCCTCGGCGGTGTAACTGGGCTACTCCCTGGAACGGGACACTGCCCACTGATGTTTCCGGTGCTAGCGGTTCTTAATGTTCTGGACGCTCCGACAGATTTACATGTTGAGGCAAGTTTTGGCACCTGGGCTTGAATCTAACCCAATCGAAATTTTCCCAGATAGAGCTGACAGGAGAATTCACGGCCAGATTGTCTCCATTGCTTCTTAATCTCGGAACACTCATGCCCGGCGGCAAGTTGGGCCGCAAAGAGCCCCTGGTTTATTTCCGGGTTAATTCCGGGGAGTCCTCGTGCTCCCGGGATTCGTTCTCAGGGATCCGTTAAGAAGTACCCGGATCCTGTTCACCATTTCTCTTTCCTCTCCAATTTCCCTCTTCATTTTGTAAAGTGGTGCAAGATGTCTAGCGTGATTAACCAGACCGATGGGCGCGAAAGTGCAGGGTACGTGCCCCCCTATAAAATGCTCTGAGACATCACTTCCTACCCCTCCGGCTGCGGAAGTCTACCAGCTACCTGAGGTCATCCCAACCTCAACGTGTCCCATTGCTATTTTGAAGGATATTACCTTATCCAGATAATTGTCACAAATTTCTCCTGGACTCTTCTGCAGACTTGTGCAAGCTTTTGCAGCTCAGAGAGCTTCCCGCTCAACCCCCAATTGCCGCGTCAAACGCGAATTCTTTCTCGAACGAAGCACTAACAGTGGTCAATGCATCCAGCACCATCAAACTTAAAGATGATACCATTATTGTGGTGCTAGGCGCCTCTGGTGATCTGGCGAAGAAGAAGACCGTTAGTTCCCCGCCTTCTAGGACGCTATCACACGTACTAACTATTTGGCAGTTCCCTGCACTCTTCGGCCTCGTATGTGCTATTTTTACTAATAAACCCAGCTCCAATCCACTGACAATATTCTATAGTTCCGCAGCAAGTTGCTCCCCAAGGATATTCAGATCGTCGGATATGCGCGGACAAAGATGGACCACGAGGAATTCCTCAAGCGCGTTCGCTTTTACATCAAGGTCCCCACAAAGGAGATTGAGAAGCAATTAAATCAATTTTGCAAGATGTGCACCTACGTTTCGGGCCAATATGACCAGGATGACTCCTTCATCAACCTGAACAAGCACCTCGAGGAGATCGAGCAGGTTCGCCAAGGAAAGGAGCAGAACCGTGTGTTCTACATTGCTCTGCCCCCCAGTGTTTTCATTACTGTGTCTGAGCAGCTCAAGCACAACTGCTACCCCAAGAGCGGTCTTGCCCGTATTATTGTGAGTGGAAGTTATGAGTCAAAACGAATTCATACTAATACAATTATCCGCAATAGGTCGAGAAGCCCTTCGGTAAGGACCTTCAGAGCTCACGCGACCTGCAGAAGGCTTTGGACCGCAACTGGAAGGAGGAGGAGATCTTCCGTATCGACCACTACCTCGGCAAGGAGATGGTTAAGAACATTTTGATCCTACGATTTGACAACGAGTTCTTCAACGCCTCATGGAACCGTCACCACATCGACAACGTTCAGGTATGTGTGGAATGATTAGGTTTTAGATATGGGTTCTAATATCTGCCACAGATTACATTCAAGGAGCCATTCGGCACCGAGGGCCGTGATGGTTACTTCGATGAGTTCGGCATCATCCGTGATGTCATGCAGAACCGTAAATTTATGCCAATTTTGCCGATTAGATGCAGCAAATACTGACAATATGAAGACCTTTTGCAGGTCCTCACATTACTGGCCATGGAGTGCCCCATCTCCTTCTCTTCCAAAGATATCCGTGACGAGAAGGTCCGTGTTCTCCGCGCTATGGATGCCATCGAGCCCAAGAATGTCATCATCGGCCAGTACGGCCGCTCCCTCGATGGCAGCAAGCCCGGTTACCTGGAGCACAACAGTGTGCCCAAGGAGTCCCGCTGCCCGACCTTTTGCGCGCTGGTTGCATACATTAAGAACGAGCGTTGGGACGGCGTTCCCTTCATCCTCAAGGCCGGTAAGGCTCTGAACGAGCAGAAGACCGAGGTCCGCATCCAGTTCAAGGACGTCACCTCCGGTATCTTCAAGGACATTCCCCGCAACGAGCTTGTCATCCGTGTCCAGCCCAATGAGTCCGTCTATATCAAGATGAACTCCAAGCTGCCCGGTCTGTCCATGCAGGCGGTGGTTACCGAGCTGGACTTGACCTACCGCTGCCGGTTCTCCGACCTCAAGATCTCTGAGGCTTATGAGTCTTTGATCCTGGACGCCTTCAAGGGTGACCACTCCAACTTCGTCCGTGACGATGAGTTGGATGCCAGTTGGCGCCTCTTCACTCCTCTCCTGCACTACCTGGATGACAACAAGGAGATCATCCCCATGCAATATCCCTACGGTAAGCCTATCAACGACAATTCAGATTTGAAATGACTAATTATTTTACTAGGCTCCAGTGGACCCGCTGTCCTCGATGATTTCACTGCCTCATACGGCTACAAGTTCAGTGACGCCGCTGGTTACTAGTGGCCCGTCACGACCTCGGGCCCCAACCGGCTGTAATTCTTCAGGGTATAGTTGTTTACGACGATTATGGGAAGCGGATTGGGATACGCAGGAATTAAAATCGAATCGCGGTACCTCATACCGGAGTCGGGTTTTCCATTCCAAAATCTATCTCGTGCGCAATACCCTCAAGCTGGCCGTCTGGTGCCCGGCGCAGCGGACATGGCTGCCAATGTCGATCTGGACAATTCGCATCTGCTGCCAAGAAACGTATGCCAGCACTGGCAACGGGCTATGTAGATACTTGGTCGCTGGCAGAGGGGAGCATTCTTCGTAGACAAGGCAACGGGCAGGGAAGGGATGTGAGCGGGGGCGGGACCCCGATCGATCGATTGAGAGAGAATTAAAGGTAGATCTACCTTTAGTCGAAAAACCATTGCTCTAAAAAATTGCTTTGCCTGCAATTTCTGGTCTTACCAGCGAGAGCTGGGTCATATCCGCAGCTGCCTTCGAGCTCCAAGTGAAGCGCCATACTCTTGGTCCGAATCGCTCGTTGCGCTAACGAGTAGCATGAAGGGCAAAGAATGGCTTTTACGGCGCGATAGCTCCAGTCTGCTGCTCGAACGTTTCGATGCCACACATGGTTTGCTCACACGTCGGCGCTGCTTCAGACAGTTATTCGCACGCTTTTCGGCATCTGACCACGGGAGATGGTAGCGACGCTTCATGGTCACGAGCTTTTCAGTCTTTGCATTCGTGGGCTACTGGACTGGGCATGTACGCCAATTGTGTCGATACTGCGGCTCAGCGGCATCTCACGAGCCCAGCAAGGCTGGGCGCGACAGGGTCTGTAATCTTTCGGACTGGCGCAGTTGATAATGGTCTGTTGCGGTCCATGTCCCTCAATGGTACTTGAAACTTTAATGGGGTAAGATCACCACAGCCAAGCTCAAGAATTACTATTACCGTGAGCGTTGGCTCGAAGATGTCGAAGGTGGTAGAAAATCTACTGTTGGGTGGGCCAGGGAGGGTGGGTCATCAATGCAAAGTGACAAGTTGAAATGGTTTACAACCCAGTACAATTGGGATTCTGTCGGGCAAATTAGCATAGTGTAAGGGATATCTCTCGTAAATGGCCCGATTTTCAAAATCGGGCGAAGAGGCAAGTAAAAGATAGTATGTCCTGGACTGAGACGTCCGGGTCGCGTTAGTAACGCGCCTGGTCGGGATTCACGTGAAGGATGTTCCCTCCGCTGACTGACCATATTAGACCAGAGTTCCTTGGTGTTCGGTTGCAACTGGATAGGGCTGGCAATGGCCTTGACCCTGAATCTCAGTCATGTGTCATGATCTACGCGGTCGCATGGACGTGATCCCCGTAGGTTGATATTAGACCAACCTCCTCTGCAAACCGCCCTGGCGTTGTTTTCAAGAAAGAAAACATCACTCCATTATCACGTCGAATGGCCGGAAGTGAAACTAGATATCGTGGAGTGATACCACAGACTTAAATGCAATACCACTGGGATTGGCAGCGGTTCTCTCATTCAGCTTGCCCACGAAAGGTAAAGTTTCCAGGTAAAGCCCGACAGCGTCTGGGGACAGGCCTTGGCTGCTGGTTTGCTACTTGAGAACGCCTCAAATTTTATTTCCCCTAACATTCGCGAAGACTTTCCGCTTCCGTGAAGACAACTTGTGCGTCTGCGGCCACCGAGAAAACGTGACTCATGAATTACACACTGTATCTAAACAGTTCCCGACCAGCAATTTGATTTGCTTTTATCGACTCACTGACTAAAGGAGAAGTTTTGCCAAAAATTGTATTTTACCAAGGAAGAACCCGACCATCATACCGACTTGAGCCTCCTTTGGATTCCCATGAGGGAACCAAGGCACTGAAGAATTTACCGTTATCAATTTTAGTAACGCTCAAGACTCGTTTCAGGAGACACTCAGCAGATTCCTTGGGATCCAAGTCTGCCGCTTCGGAGCCCATCTCGGTTCGAGCCCACTAGAGAGAATCTTGTCAGCATTGTTTTGTCCAGTAGGCTTGCTAGATATCCGTCTTACACCAGCGCAGATACTGAAAACAGTGAAACCGTCCTTCTCCAGATAAGCAGCGTATTGTGCGGTCATCATGTTTAATGCAGCTTTGGAAATCTTGTATGCAGGTGTCGGCTGGAACATGTAGTCCTTTAGATGGGTGATAGATGCCATCGCGGAGGACCTGATGGGGAATCTTGTCAATACCCGCAGCTATTTTCGCCGTAGGAATACTACCTACACGTTGACAATCGTCTTTTTCTTTCCCTTGCGTAGAATCGGGAGAAGCGCCCTGGAAACAAGATGTACACTGTTCACGTTGATTTCCCAGTGCTCCTTGAGATTGTTCCTGCGCCACCAATGAATTAGCATGTTCCTTAATCGGCATAACACAGTTACCCGTACATAGCTTCCGCCCCCAATTCAGAGTTTGGAGAGTATTGCATAATGCCGGCGTTGTTGATCAAGACATCCAGGCCGTGCGGGAGGATCTGAGCTACCTCAACAGCAAACTTTTCCACACTCTCTTCCTCGGTGATCTGCACGACCAGGAGTCTCACACGACCTGCGGATTCGGCAATAAGCCTTTCCAGGGCATCGCTGGACTTTCGGACCGCGGCAATGACGACGTTGACCTCGGATGCAGGCTTCGAGGCGAGGATGGTGGCCATCCACAGGCCAAGGCCTCGGTTGGCACCGGTGATCAGGAATGAAGTCATCTTCTTGGGCATATCTGTGTTTCCCAGGGAAAATGTGGCAAGTATTAGATTTTGAAATAGTCGCTTGACTCAATCAGCGGAATTGTAAGCTCCTTTTCGGTTTGGAGGAGGCTTGCTGGAGTCCGCTCTTTCCGTGATAGAATTTAATACCTCCGACCGAAGTGCAACTTCGATGCGATGGTAAGCTGGATGAATTTCTAATCAAGTGCATATCTGACAAATCACTAGAATTTCGTCTCGGAGCGCGATCCTTAAATCCGGTGGTCTACAGTTTCCCTCTGCGCTGGTTGAAGGACGTCTGACAAATCACTGTTGGAGTACCTGTTTTTGATGGTATTATTCTGTCATCCTGATAGGCATTACTCATGCATTAGGGTTGTGACCCACACAACTCCACAATAATATACAATCAATATACACATGCTACAAGACAAAACTAAAGCGAGGGTAGGAAAAAAAGTCCATGATTTCTAGGGATGAAATTGTAGGCGCATTTCGGTGGTTCAACGTTGAGTCGCTCACAGATGAGGTGATCAGAACAAGAAATATGAGCCTGTCATTGCGGATTGAATATATCCCACAAAGCCTCAATTTAAGAGGACCGTGAAGGATTCAACAGTCAGCCAACGTTTCTTGACCGACTCAGCATCCCTTTTTCTCAACACCATCCTTACTCGTCTCTCTCGCTGAGCATCTAAAGTGTTCAAAAATGTCGCTGCAAATGGTTGCGGTAAAAAGAAGACATGGGTTTCAACAGCCCTCAATAAGGAGAGATGTCCTCAACGCTTCCTACCAAGCTTGTAAGTGACAGAAGCCGAGAAGTCTATAAATACGTCCTCTACCCCCGGCAATTTGCTCTACAATTTGATCACTTGACTACGCAAAGTCGAGTAGGCCTTGTGCCTGACGCACTTGATAAGTTCTCCCCTTTGATCGAGTAGTGGAATTTCTACTGTACTGACATTTATAGGATACATCGTGGACCAGCAAGTCAGACAGTGCATATGAGAGATGTGATTCCCAGCAGATCCACTGTGTCATTCACGCCAGCCGGTCAAAAATACGAGATTTGGGTTAGCTGGTCAAAGTGTCTATGCGAAGATGTCTCCGCTATAGCAGCCGACTCAGCTGATATACTGTACAGCCCCTGTGTGTATTCCCACGGCAAAAGCGCGAATATCCACGTCGCAGGGATGTGAGTCTTAACATGGCCTGTCTGGTATTCTACTGATCCTGAAAACGATGCGATTCTAATAGAACCGAGGACATTCGACCAGAGCTCTTTGCCGTCTCTTCGTCCCTAGTCTTGGCCACCAGAACACGTGGGTCCCGGATTATCTCGCCGATCTACAAGCTAATGAATGACAATGAATAATTGACATCCCACCAGAGTGGCCCCCGCTGACACAGCATCCCCGTTAGTGCTCTGCACAAAGCCATGGCCTACACACCAGTCCTGGTCCCGTGGCTTCAGACCACGCAGCATACCCTAGGTGAAGTATATAAATCAAAGGAGCGGGCCAATAACAGAATGCGGACATCCGATTGCGAGCTTCGCTGCAAAGAAGATTGAGACGTCCATTCTTCCTGGCAATGTAAGTGATTTATCGCGCCTTCTGCTGCACTATATCCAGTTATTTGTGCAAATTTTTGTGCTCCAAAACACGAACACCATTACTGATTTTCATGCCATTGTACATAGGAGCAGCCCATCGCCATCCGTGAAACATCCTTGTGGGGAGTCCTTCTATCGCCGGATCGGAGATAAGACCAAGGTGGCACTACGACGCGTGCTCCATCGCGTCTGCCCTCGACCCCACCGCCTTCATACCATGAACGGCGGAGTGTATGAACCTCCGGCCGACCGCGTCGCGAAACGGACTTCCATGACGATTGTACAGTCCCTTCTCACAGGTGGGTTCGTCACGCGCCTTTGCCGTGTTCAGAAATTGTCCGGTACACCCAGCCCGGCTTGTTCCAAGCGACAGCCGGAGAGTGCGACGAACCTGGATACAACATGGCATAGACGGTGACTGCATTGCTGAAGAGAACTGTGAGTGAAATCTGGTTGTTAAGCTGATACGGTCAAGAGGCTAATTGATCGGCTCGTCTCCAGCTTACACTTTGCGAACTTTATCGTCAGGTAAGCTAGAACATTTTGTTGTGATATGAAGCTGGTGCAGATCAGGAACCAAGCCGCACCGTCGGAATTAACTCCGAGTTGTCCATATGGACGACCAAGTTGATTGGAAATCAACTTGGCTCATTGTTGTATATATAGGCCCATGTATCCCTCTGAGATAAAACAAGTCAATTCATACCTCTGAACAACAACACATTTCGCACAACTGGATCAAGCCTTGCTGACTCGGATCGTATAACAGCACACTCTCATTCCTGTCAATGGAGTCGTATGCAAAGCGAGCAAATTTCTTGTTTGCTCGAACTCTCCTATATCTATACGGTCGAATGCTCTGTCCCTCCACTATGACTACTGGTGGCATCTATGATGAGTCACCGTACGGTTTATATCGTCTACCTCGCTTCTTTCTCTTAGTCGACTCTGTGCATAAGGTCATGTGCTGATGTGTCTACCTGATACAAGGCCCAATTCCAATGAGCTTATACCCCTGTGTGTCTCTCGCCATTCAAATAGCGTGAAAAGACAGCCTCCTTGTGGCTTGGACTTTTGGCTTCCAGTGGGTGATCTTCATTGTTCTCGGTTGGCATCTGGCGTCGTCTTGCTAGATGGCCAGTGAGCCTTACCTTCTTAGACGGCCAGGTTGTTAGTCCAAGTTTGCGTGTAAGGAGAAGGTGAGGCGAAAGTACCGTCATTTCTAGCAGAACAAGTTAACATGACCATCTCAGCTTCGAATCGAGTGGATAAGACCGAGGATAGCCTAGCTAAAAATAGGGCTCATGACCCAAGAACCACCGTCTGATACAGTCCCACCTGACCCCTCTCCGCGTTACTGAGCTTGTCGACATATACGAGCGAGCTGGAACGAACCATTCACACATACACGGAGCTGCATGCTATCAGGAGTGTTTGTCTCCTCCCTATTGGACCGAAGGTTGGTAGATTTGATTCCTGAGCCTGCTTTTTTTCTGTCCAGGGCCGAGCACTATGTGCAAAGCCATCTACCTTGGATGTCACTGAAGCTGCAGGTTAGTCAAGCTATCGTGTATTCTTTGTCCATTGAGACCGTCTTCTAACATATCGCAATTGGCGGCGCAAGCAGGTTGTCAGCAAATCGCCAAATTCTCTACGTCCCCCGAGCCCACTGTTCTTTGAGCATCGATAATGTTTTTTTTTTCAAACTTATCGCGTCCCGGACGATATCTGGCATATCAATGTACCTGAAGGGGAGCCGTGCAGAAGTCCCTAGCCATACTGGGCGGGCGTCCAGTCATCTCACATAATGCAAAATCCAGCAAGTATAACGCCCACCACAACCGACATCGGATCTCTTTGGATACGTGTGAAATGAATTCGCTCTCACTTCTGAGGTTGATTCCCGTGGTTATGGCAGACTGTGTTGCAGTACCACACAACCTCCAAGCTCTGAGAACAATCAGCATTTAAGCCAGTGTCAGGATATGAGCATGTACCTGTTGACATGGCCGATAGAGAAAAGGTAGGGCGAAGCGAGGCCTTCCACTTGCGCCTGTTGCAGGTTCGGATGGTCTAGCAACGCAGTATTCTCCATACTTATCTGCCAATCCCGTGAAAAATACACCATATTCTCGTTCTTATTCCGCCTATGCGGGCACTCTATAAGACAAGAACGCCTCGTAGGGATGGTGAATACCACATTCAACACTGCCATCCATCTTTGCCCGGCCGCGCATTCGGATTTCAGTGGACAGATCGAAACAGCTTTAAGAAAAGGATTTTTCCGATGAAGGGAAAGGAAGCGTGCTGCAGGGGAAGGTGTGTACCGTCGAAGATCGGGCACTGGAAGCCAAGCGGCAACTAATTAAAGCTGTCCATGAAAGTCTGAAGCGCTACAGAGACGAGCAACCAACCTGCGATAGATCTCGAGCGACAGTTGGAAGGGAAATTGGTGGATACTAAGGTGATGTGCACTCTAGAGCATATATTACAGGCTTTTGTAACTCCGGAGTTCATAATGGTCATTGACACCATGCTGACCTTGCCAGATGCCATTGTCGAGGCGGAGTATCAACATCGGATCAATGCGATTAATGCAGTTACTGCTTTCTGCGGGGTTGAATAAGGACGTTCCCACGCCTCGACCGACTAAATCATATCCCCGCCCCGCATCCGACGATATAACTTCTTGACATCCCGCAAAGCGACCTCGGCCCTTTGGAGGAGACATGACTGAGTATCCTCCACCAAGTGATAGAATCCGTGCGGGCCAAGTCTAGAGAAGACCGACCCAGGATCTGCTTTCTCTGAGTCGGGAATCCTAAAGAATCCTAACTTTTCGTTGAAGAACCGAGTTGCAGAACATGTAATATGTGCGAGAATCAGTCTCTTCAGCAAAAATCAATACTTTTGAATCACGGGGAAAATGCCCACGGGACAGTTGTGCGAGGTCGCGCTCAGGAGAAGCTTGTGTTGCAGTTGAATAGTACGACATTTGTCGCTACAACATGCCCACACTAAAAAGCTTTGTCTGGCTCTGTTAGAGCTCATGGAATCGTCTCACATCTGCCCTTGCTCGCAGTCACATCTAATGTTCTTTCTTTCCGCTTCTGATCCTTTATTTCATTGGTCTCCTCTTGGTATTATGTCGGCCGGAATCTGACTGGCATCTTGACTTGTAGGTTGCCATTTTACCTGGGTTTCAAAAAGGCAAAGTTCACAAGCTGTTTTCGGGATTTGGAATCACGTCCTTCCTTCTCGTCCGAATCAAGTAGCATACTTTGGCATATTACACAGACAAAGACCGTCTATTCCTTCACCAATCACGGGGTTATGGACAATTTGCGATCTGCGTTAGAAGTTCACTTCGATCATTGACTTGCAAGTAATTCCAAAG